AGATAGAAACATGAAGAAATTGAAGGAGGCAATTAAGGGAGAGACGTGTAGCTAAGAACAGCTTGTGGGAAGCTTGCGATGCCCTTTCTCTTCCATCCCCACAGTGCAGCTTTATCCTCATGGTTGCATCTACCCTACTATTGTTTTGTTGTGTGGTTTGTGATGTTGCAAAATCACTTACCCTTGCTATGAAGTCATTTTGCAATAACTGGGTTTCCGTGGGGAAGTAGGTGTGGCCTTAAAAAAATGTCTGTCCTATAACATAATAATTTTTATGTCTCTGGTTTCAGTTCCCCAAAAAGAATGAGTGATGTAAATATGTACATCTCTCTTGAAATCAACACAGGAGGGAAAGCGCTTGCCATGTCTGTTAGCTATTGCTGAATACAAACCACTCCCCAAATGCAGTGTCTTGCCATTGCTCAGTAGTCTCTGGGTGAGCGGAGTGGTTTGGGCCGCATGAGGCCTCTTTCAGCCGGTCTTGGTTAGCCTGCATTTGCCCAGGCACCTCCATTTGGCTGCTGAGTCAGCCTTGGGGGGGGGGGGCAGCTTCTCTAAGACGGGCTCAGCTACCGCAGCTTGATTCTGCTCCACGTGGAACCTCATCCTTCGGTGGTCTGGCCTGGGTGTGTGCACCTGGCAGCTGAGCAAGGTTCTGAGAGGTAGAACAGATGTGCACGGGCCACTTGAGACCTAGGCTTGACACTGACATGGCGTCCCTTCCACTGCCTATTAGCCACAGTTTATTGGCCACAGCAAGTCCCTCTTGGTGAGAAGAGCTACAAAGTCACGTGGCAAAGGGTGAGGATACAGGAAGGGATAGAAAATTGTGTCCATTTCGGCAGCCTTTCACAATATGTAGGGAAGACAATCAGATCTTCACGACATCCTCAATTTTTGAATAGCCCTTGGAGTAGACTTTTATTATCTCTTCCCTCTTCTTTGGGCAACCGTACCTCTCTTCATTTAAGGAAACGGTTTCTCTCTCTCGAGGTCACATGGTTTGAATGGGCTGACCCTACCTCCCTGCCCGTGATTAGTCTGAAGGAGGACCTGACCCAAGAGGGCAGTGCTAGTATCTACTCTCCACGGCAGGGATGGGTCCCAAGTTACCAACACAAGATAACCATCGGGCATTCAATGAATATTTTCCAAGATTTTTTTTTTTCTCACAGTTACTAGGAGAGGCCCTTTCCCTATCTGATGGAAAACATGAGCATTCATTATCCCAGCCTTGTGGAGAAGCTACAGTATAAAATGAAGTTGTCACAGAGTCACTGGACTGTCTCCCACCATTGTCTTTCTGCTCTTTGGCAACAGGAACCAAGAGGCTCACTTCGGCGCAGGTGGTTCCAATTGTGTTTCTGTCGCTTGTAACCAAAGGAATCCTAACTGAAAGAGCCCCAAAATGGAAGACTTCAAACAGAAAAGGCCATGCTTGTACTTTCTGTGGGACTCACTAAACTAGTTTAATGAATCACTCTCCCTTTTTGCATATAGAGCAGGAGTTGCAAGCGCCATGCCTGGGCGGAACCACAGGTAAATGGAGATGACAAAGGTAAGTATCCCGCCCCACCCCCATGAACTCTGAGCGCCAGTTGGCCCCACCCCTTGGCCCTCCAGGCCTTAACTGTTGGCCATGAGGACCAGTCAGAGCTCCAAGCATGGGTTGTCTGGGATCCCAGATTCTCTTTGATTCTCTCTCATTTCTGTCTTCCTGAAGATGGTAGTTGCTCGTTTAAGTTATTATGTCTGGACTCTGTCAACATCTACTTCCTGCTCATTTAGCTTTCCAATATTTACCCAGTTCTGTGTATTAAATTCCTTCGGTCTGAAATAATTAACATGGCTTCTGTTTTCTTGACTCAGCCCTGACTGGTAACAATCGTTAGAACCAAAAGTTTACTTTGTATGCTAGAATTTCTTTTTCTGAAATTATAATGTGAAAAATAATTTCTTCAAATGCCAAGATCCTTCCTGCAAGAAATAGTTACCAAACAGCCACAAAAAGCTCTCCTGTAAAACAGTTATGATTGTTCTGCTACTTATATCAAAACCCTCATGATTCATAAAAAGACTAGACCTGGGGGCGCCTGGGTGGCTCAGTGGGTTAAGTGTCTGCCTTTGACTCAGGTCATGATCTCAGGGTCCTGGGACTGAGCCCCTGCTCAGGAGAGAGTCTGCTTCTCCCTCTCCCTCTGCTGCTCCCCCTGCTTGTGTGCTCACTCTCTCTCTCTCTCTCTGTCAAATAAATAATAAAAATCTTTAAAAATAAAAGACTAGGCCTGAAGTGTCTGTCATAAGTGGCATTTATATCCCTCAATCTGTCTTCACTCTTTTTGAATCTATTTCTAAACGGGCCAACCAAAGTCAACACTTAGGAACACACATTCTAAGGAATGTTCTGGCAATTATACCAGTGGTTTTGGGTCTGGATTTAAGATGAGCTAGTAAGTATTTAAATTTTTTTAAAATATGATTTTAAAAATACTTAAAAAAATAAAAATAAAAATACTTAAATATTAAGTATTGAAGTATTTTAAATCAATTTGAAATGAATTATTTTTTATTTAAAATTTAATAAGTATTTATAAGCTAGCTCCATTTGTGGGAAGGACACAGTAATTACTCATACTAGAATAGGAGCCTTCATTTTAGGGCAAAATTCACCCAAGGAGATTGTGAGAAGTTTAGATATACAAACACGTGTTTCTAAAAAATGGAATTATGTTATTTTTCCCCCTGGAAACACCTACACCAAACTAATAATTATGTCTGTTTCTTGGGTATAGGAATTATTTTATTACTGTCTTTTCTTTTTATGATTAGTACATATTACTTTTCTTATAATGAAAAACATATTTTAAAGTTCCTCCAGGGCAAATTTAAAAGGCTTGGATTTTAAACCTAGGATTTATATTCTATTTTTAAGGAAAATGCCTAATGCATGCTTTTTCTGTAAATATCTACTGAGCACCTATGGGGTGCCTAGCATCGTAGAAAGAGAACCCCAAAGTAAAATTCCTACCCCAAGGGAACTAAATCAACAAGGTTCATAGGCGTCTTTACAGTATACTAGTAACTAACACATGATGGACCCCTAATAAATGTTCGTTGAATGAATATGTGAATTTTCCATCAAAAGTATTTATTTATTCAAACTCTCATTTCACAGAGGATTAGCCTTGTTCTGTTCATTCATCATAAATGTATCATACTTTATCACTTCCGAGACACATATTGCTCACCTTTCAACAACTCTGAAATCAGAATGAGACTTCCTAGCAATGTGATTTTTAAAGTATTGTTTCATAGACAATTTGCAGCATTTTCTTTTATAGTGATAAATAAAGTAACAGTATGTTTTACACTGATGACATCTTTGAATGAAATACAATATATATTATATTTTCTATATTTTAGAAAATACATATGAATATTTAGGCATGTTTCCGCTAGGGTTCAATCAGAAAAACTTTTCATGGAGCCACACCATTCAATGAATATTCGAGCCTCCAGTGATCACATGAAATCCACAACTACTAATTTATAAATGTCAAAAACAATAGCTGACAAGTAACTTTATAAACACTTGCATATTTATGAGGGTTTATTTCTCGAATTTTCAAGATTACTATTGAATGTTAATCGTGTATCTCCTATTTTAGACTTAATGCAAGGCATAAGTACGCATAAAAATTATGGGCATATCTAATCATTTATGTACTTAAAGGATTTTCGTATTTTAGTGTTTGAATTTAACCAAGATTTGAAAGGTCTAAGAAATATGAAAATGACTAAACTGTATAGGAACTCTGAGAAGTTATAAAACAAACGCTAATAAAAACTTATAGGAGAGAGGAAATGAACCAAAATCAAAATGAACTGTTATGACAAAGACAGGCAAAGAACACAAGGGGAAGGAGGTGGGGGAGGAGGAGGAAGAAGAAAAATTCATAATGGCAAAAAGAAAAAAACGTCACCAGACTAAGAAAATGTGACTCATCAGCAAGGTATAACCTGCATTAACTGCATACAAAGGCATCCCTCTGAGCACTGCATACAAGTTAAAGGCATCAAATAAATACAGAAGTACATTTTATTAATAATTATTGACATCCACTAGTTCTGTGAATGTTATACCAGGTACATCAGGTTTAATCACATAGTCCTTTTGTTATCTCTTAGCCTTTCTCTTTTCTTCCATATTTTCTCACAGAGGTCTTAGCCAATGCGGAAGTTGGAAGAAGAGGGCAGGAAGGAAAAAAGGAAAGCCATCCTTTCAACCAGAGGATGATCTTGTCCGTCCCTTACTCTCTTCTCCTGTGATTGCCAAGCCTCCCAGATAACGGCCCTGGAGGACTCCGAGAGCTGCAGTTACCTGCTCTTCCTTCCCCACACTTCCTCCTTTCCTGGGATCAGGAACATAGAGTCCGGAAGTACACATGCCTTCCGCTTCTCCATCTGGGCACACCCTCACTCCCTGCTTCTGACAACTCAAACCTCAACACACCTGCCCACTGATCATAATGCCCACCTCCAGCAAAGAGGGCAATATAGCCCCCTTTTCCATTGTACACTTTAGGAAAAATGGCTTTAAAACTTGACAATTTTTCATCACTATAAAATAAAAAGGGAAATTCACTTAAGGCTATAGCAAACACCGAACGTGGAAAGAAAACAAGAACTCTTAACTTTCACCATCAATGCGACATCAAGATCTAAAAGACAAGGAAGCGGCAATGAGTAAGAAAAGTACAGTGCATTTGTGGCTATGAGTTTACAAAAACATTGTCATCTATTTCTAATTGTACTATTATTATTCACCAGGATAATTTTCCCTTGACTTCCAGGCTCCGTTTTTTGTTTTTTTTTTTAAGTTTTCAAGTGTTACAGTTTTATGGACTTTCCTGGCAGAGTGGAAAGGGCAAACTGAAAGTCAGATCAAATTCCTGTAGGTGAGATTAAGACTAAAATTTTTACAAAGGATAAAGTTATCTTTAAGAGGACATTGACCGATTTTGTGATGATATGGATTGCTTTCTCATACGAAGTATTTTCGAGAAAGCCTTCTGGAAATGCTTGTGACACAACGGATACAGAAAAGGGTTGACAAAGGAATTGAGCCACTGAAGCCAAAACGTGATTTCATACCCAACTATTTGAGGACGCTGGTCTAGTGGGTAAATTGAACGAATGATTGTGAACAGAGAATAGGGAGCCCAGCAAAAGGCAAAAACACCTAAGAGAATGGCCAGTGACTTGGCTAATTTCCTGGCTCTGAATAATTCAATATGTTCCCTTTGGTGAAGACACAGGGAATCAGAATGGGCGAGGGAAGCCATTTTGGAAGCAATTATACTGCCATTCATCTGGGCTCTTAAAGAGAACAAGAGACTGCTCTTTCTTTCATGTCTTTTCAAAGGAGTAGATGGTGCTGTTTCCTTCAGTTCAGGAAGAGATGTTCTTGAAAACAGTCCACCCCTGAGTGAGGATCCCCAGTTACTGGGAGAGACAGGAGAAGGGAGTGTGGGCTGGCTTTGCCACCGGCTGAGATTGCCACGCTTCCACAGGCTCCAGTAAATGTACATGTTGAAATAGGCCACTGCAAAGACTGGGACCAGGAATTCAAAGAAAGACGAGATGGCAAGGATGTACCATATGGTAAAAAATCCGGGTTCACAAGCCGTCTCCTCCAAGACTCTCCAGCTGGAATTCTTCCAAGACTCTGAAATTAGAATTATTGGCCCATGCACTAAGAAGGCCAGTACCCAGACAGCCACCATCAGAGCCACGATCTTCAAGATTCCAGTGTGTCGAGCTCTGTAAGATACCTAAAAAAGATCAAATAAATTATTTCAATATAACGAACATATGTTGGTTGCAGAAGGCATATCACAGGCCCTCGGGAGTTTCAGGGGTATGCAAGAGGTAGGGAAGCTACCTCGCGCTGGGTCACATGATATGGGCCAGGACAGAGGGTTCAGTTGCCGATGCAGACTTTCTCCATGACCTTCCAGACGGAATCTGTAATCCTCAAGGTTAAACCTCTGACATTCTAGTAAATGTTAAGATCAATATCTAAAATAAGAACGCCATGTTTCCGACTCCGCTGACACTGATCTGAATCAGAAAACAGCTGAAACGGGGTGCCCCTTTTCACAGTGTTTCACAATCTGCCAGCTGGGTCATGATCAGCATTTTTCTTTGAATGGAATAGAGCGCTCAATGTCAGAGTGCCTCACAATCGTAAGGGTATGTACTGTTTGATGAAACTTTGGCTTTGGGAATGTAGATATACATAGAGAGAGAGAGAGAAACACATGTACTGAACTCCACTATCGAATGCGTTTCTCCCACGGTCAAACAAGTTTGAAAGCCACTGGCTTTCTTGATTCTAATATTCAGGAAGAATCTACTCTGTAGTTTATCCTGAGATTTCAAGGTGGCCTCAAAAAGACAGAATTCTTACATCACTCCCAAGAAGATGACCCCCACCCCAAAAAAGTCTAAACCTGCTATGGAGAAATAGCATAATGTTACTGAGCATTACCAAATCATTTCTTTCTATAAATATTTCCACTCAACAAAAATGGTGCCAAAGCTGTGGTGGTCAGCCACTTCGAGAGACACAGCCATGGCAAGTACCACAGTCTTTTTTAAAGAGTAGAGAATGTTCTAGGTCTGCTTGGTCATGAAGACTGGCTTCTATAAGGGAAAATGAGATTCTAGGAGTAAGGATTGCTCTCAGTTCTCAGGACCCATGATCTTCAATAGATCCTGAAATCTTTAAAAATATCTTCTATAAGAAGCCTAAAAGGTCACCCACCCTATATGAGGGATGAACACATGAACCAGGAATTTTTTTAAGGCGATCTGGAACAGACAATGTCTCTAAGCTTCTTTTAGGTCAGTAAGGTTCCTTCCAGCTCATATATTACATATTTCTCTGATTTCCTCACTCAAGGGAAAGGAAATGATTTCCCCCATGAAACTGGAACATGCCTCTCTTTCCACCATCGCTCATGTACTATTTTCTCTGTGAGTTTCTAAATCTTGTGCTATGGTGTTTTCTCATTTTTATTAAAAAGTACAACAATGCCCAGCCCTGTCTTTCTTTGATGGATTGTGCAGGCTGGGAAGGGCTCAGCGACTGGCTGGAGGTAAAAGGAAGCAGGCTTTTAAAAAAAAGTTATTTTTAAAAACTGCAGGGAAGTGGGGGTTTTTTTCCCCCCAAGTTACTGATATTTCTGAGGCTAAGCTAAAATGCATATGGTGCTGACCACAAGTTCCCATATACTTTCCCATATACTCCCATACGCTTTTTTGCCTTCTGCTTTTCATGCCACTAATTAATACACCTCTTGTACTAAATCTAATGATTATGAAGACGGTAACAATACCCAGATGGTCATAAAACTGAATTTAGTTTTTTAATTGCTCTGTTCAGCCGTTGTAATGATGTGATGCAATATGCTGGAAAGTGATCTCTTTTCTATGATGCATAAGGTCAAATGGGATAATGGACATCCAAGGGAATTGAGAAGATGATGACCATGTCTTCATCTTCGGGTAGCATTTTTGACAGATAGCTCAAGCATTGCTTGAATCCAGGCCCAAGCCAGTTGGAGTGGCCTTCCTGACATCAATCAATGGCCAAGTACTTCACCCATGACAGAATATGTTCGTTATTCAGGATATTGCTTCTTATCCTGCTTCCTTTCCAGCCCCAATAAGATATCCAAACACTCTGTCAATCGGGTTTCTTTTATAAGGCAGGGCAGCCCCCGGAACTTGCTGGTGTTAATAATGAGATGGCATTGCAGAGCCATCCTAAGTGCCTGTTGCAGGTTGAATTGTGTCCTCCAAAGAGATAGGTTGAAGTCCTAAGTCCTGGTACCTGTGTGCATGCCCTCATTTGCAAGTAGGGTCTTTGCAGATATAATCAAGTTAAGATAAGGTCATATTCAGTAAGCCCTAATCCAATATGACTGTTGTCCTTATAAGAAAGACACAAACACACAGGGAGAATACCCTGTGTCAATGGAAGCAGAGACTGTAGTGACATATCTACGAGGCAAGGACCGCCAAGGAATGCCAAGGATGGCTGATAATATTAGAAGCTAAGAGAAAGGCATGGAACAGGCAGCCCTAGAGACCTCAGAGAGAGCATCGCCCTGCCTCCACCTTGACTGGGGACTTCAGGTCTCCAAACATTAAATGTATTCCACAGAATAAGTTTCTGGGGTCTTAAACCACCCAATGTGCAGTACTTAATTACAGCAGTCCTAGGAATCTAGCCAGCCACCAGCAACCATATTTCTCATGGTCTTGTTTTATTCTCAAGCTTCCCTCTTCATCTTCAGGTAAAAAAAAAAAAAAAAAAAATACTCTCTCCGCTTACTATCTTAATTCTGCATACATTTGAATTCCTACTCCTTCCAACTACACTGTGCTACTTTCCCCCACCCACTCTTGCTTCAGCCACACAGAAATCTGCCCCTCCAGAAAATGTGTCTGAGCACTGTAATCACACACTGGCAGCTGCACTGGGCCTTCCTTTTCCAAATTATTGTCAGATTTCCATTTCCCAGGCCCAGCCCATGACCCTGACTTATCATACTGTCTCTCCACGTTGAACTACAGCAAGAGCTCGGCTTCCCCACAACCACTTCCTACAAGCTTCAGTGGTCTTTGAGGGCTTCCTGGCTCACACTGCTGCATTGGAACTCTTTGCCAACAAAGGCCCAAGAGCTGCCTGAGCGCCCCTTTTGCAAGCATCCATGCGCTGGGGTGTGCAGCTCTTGTTACACACTTGACTCCGTGCTTATGTACTAAGGATCTTGGATCCAGCCGACCCAACCCTCACCAAATTTAGAGCCTGCGTGGCCAGGGGGAGTTCCTCAGGGCAAGACTAGGAAACAAACGCACTCATTTTCTCTCTGGACATCAGTCCTCATGTCTTTGTGACTTCTACACATTTTTCCTAACTGTACAAACTCTCTCTTACCTTTGCACACAACTGAGGTAGACCCAAGGGCTCGGACATCCAGCAAAGGGATGTCCTAGCAAACACTAACTAGGAACACCCAGTGAAGACTAAAAAGAAATGCTTACCCAGAAGAAAAAGGAGATGTTTCAGCACCAATGGGAAAGATTATGAATTAGAGCACTCTTTTTTGAACATTTTGACGAACTCAAACTAAGAAATACATTTTATATCATCACTAAGTGCACAGACAGAAGTACTCATAAAATAATACTTACATTTATTACATACCTGGTACTCTGATATTTTATACTCTATTTTTATTCTGTTTTACTATGTTTTTTTTCTGTATTTTTTCATTTTAAAAAAAGGTGGTCACAACCCACTGAACTGACTTCATGACTCAATAATGGACCATAAGCTGCAATTTGAAAAGCATGAGCTTATAGGCATCTGAATTGCTCATCCAAGCTGATCTGCGCTCTCTCCATAGTTTGTCTAGTACCAACTGCAGTGGACTCTGGTGCCAATGACGTACCCGAGGCCAAGTGTCTGGATGTCCCAACACATTCTTTCCCCCCTTCTTTCTGACAATACGGCAGCTCAGCTAGAGACCACATTTCCCAGCTTTTGTTGCAGTGAGATGGGAGACCATGTGACTAAATGCCACCAATAAAATGTGAGTGGAAATGATTGTATGATTCTGCACTACTTGGTTAAAAGAAAACCCCTTGCCCTGGACTTCTGCCCTTTACCCATCCTTTCTAGAACCTGGAGTGGCAGCAACCTGGTCTTGACCATGCAGAGGAGAATAATGACCTAGAGCAAGGGTCAGCAAACTACTGTCCCTCAAACAAATGTGGCCCACCACCTGTTTGGATAAATACATTTTTATTGGAACACAATGAATGAATCATTCCTTTTTTCTTTAACATATTATGTATGGCTCTTTTTATGCCATAATGGCAGATTTGAGCAGCTGCAACAGAGACCATAGGTTCCTTTATAGAAAATTTTGCTGACCCCTGCCCTAGAAGGTGCAGACCACCCTGTTAGCCTAGGTCCCTGGATGAGTTCCTGGAGAAAAGGCTTTCCTGGAATGTTCTGTGAGAGGAAAATAAATTTCTATCTTATTTGAGCCTCAACTTTGTTCCTGCAGTTGGTCCTTGCCTTCTGCAATATACCCTCCCAACCCTTCTGCTCCGAGCTGCTCAGTCCTCCCAAGCCAAAGCTGTCCCTGGCCTCTCAATACCTCCAACACCACACCTAGTCCATGGTACTGAACCCATCTGTTTCTGGATCTGTCTCCACATTAGCCTATTATGCTCTTCAAAAGTGGAGACTGATGTTTCATTTCTATATCCCAGCACTTAGCAAAATCCCTTGCACACAGTCGCATCCCCCAAAGATGTGGGTCCTGGGACTCAAGAGTGAAAGAGGTTTCCCATCTAGGTCTCGAAGACTTCAAATTACTGCCCCATACTGACAGTATCTGCCTTGTTTTTCCCCTTGTTCTATTGCTGATAAATTTAGCTTGCTTAAGAACTGTCACTAACTTGTTGAAACGAAGATTCCAAATCTTGGGTCAATTCAGACTTTCTTGGCATGGACCCTACACTGGCACTGGGACTTGATCTCCCAGGCTGGTCCCACTGTCTAACCTACAGCTTCTCTGTATACTGTCTTTTCTCCTTTGGCCATTCAAAGTTGATTTTCTCATGACATTCAAAAGTCTGGGCATCTTTCTACTTGACCACCAGGTCCCACCTGAGGAAAATCTTCAGGTCTTAGTTTGTGTAAGGAATGGACTCGATAAGTCTACTGTGACTCACATGTATATCCAATCTACTGTGGACTCAGTATACCACTTCCGACACCTTGCCTTGGATTTTCTCTGACAGCCTTCCCACGCTAGTGGCACGTAGGGGAGTGAGTGACTTAGCCAAATCACACACAGAAATTGTTCACTAAGGGCCAATGAAAACTTAGCGCCAAATAACAGAAGGATAATCAGGCTCCTCTAAGGTTTGCCAACTAAACAAAAAATTACACTTAAAACAATTTCTGCTTGGGGATGCAAAATGCACAAGTATGTCACCTTCTAAAGAAGGTGAATGAGTGTTTTGACTTACAGCATTTGAGACTGACTGGTACCGATCATAGCTGATGAGAACAATGTTATACACAGATGCTGTACACAAAAGATAGTCAACAATGAGCCAAAATGCACAGAGTCCATTTCCAAAGTCCCAATCAAACAGCGTGTGAGGGATGTACAAAGGGATGGAGATCACACCTGTATAAGGAAAAAATAAGGCAAAAAAAAAAAAAAAAAAAGAAAAAAAAAAAAAAAAAAAAAACGCATGTCAACGAATACAAAGAGACATAGGCATAAAACACAATGACATATCTGAATTGACCAAAAGTGGCTTGATTATAATTTAGAAATTCATGGTGTTTCATCAACAAAACTCAGGACTGATTTCCTACACATTCTTTAAATACCATTTTTACAATGGCTGTCATAAGTATCCTACGTTTCCTTATTACGTTCCAAATTAGGCTCAGGTCCTGACCCGCATTTCCAAACATATACAGCATAAGGCTTTTTGTTTTCTTTTTTTTATTTCTAAATTCTATTAGCCAACATATAATACATCATTAGTTTTTCATGCAATGTTCAATGATTCATTAGTCGCGTATAACGCCCAGTGCTCATCACATCACATACCCTCCTTAATGCCCATCACCCAATTACCCCATCCCGCCACCCACCTCCCTTTCCACAATCCTCAGTTTGTTTCTAGGAGTCAAGAGTCTCTCTTCGTTTGTCCCCCTCTCTGATTTCTTCCCACTCAGTTTTCCCTCCCTTTCTCTATGATCCTTGACGACATTCCTTATATTCCACATATGAGTGAAACCATATGATAATTATCTTTCTCTGATTCATAATCCAACCCAGACAGGATGGGCCAGCCTTCCCCAAACACAGCCCAGTTTCACATGTCCTTTGCCAACAGCATTCTTTCTTCCTAGAATAGCCTCCTCTCTTCTACTGAGAAGTCTAATTACTTCCTTCTCATTCTTCATTCAGTTCACAAAAAGGACTTCCTCTTTGTTATCTTTCTTGGAACTTCTTTGGCAGAAGTGACCCCTTCTCACTTGCACAGTGCTGGCACTTTGCTCTTCCCTTTCTCTCTCATGTATAAATATATTCTACTTTTCATCTCTGTCATCTTTTCACTTGTTTCTCCTGAGGGCTGAAACTGTATTGCAAGTTGATCCTTGTATTTTTCACAACATTGAGAGTTGACCAGTGGCTCCCACATTTAACTGAAATAAATTAGTAACAGCTGATATGTATTGTGCAGTTACCACATGCCAGACATTGTGCTATGTCTACCGCATATGTCACCTCATTTAACGTTCATAGAAACTGAGGTAGAAATCATGCTGACTTAGCCGATAAAGAACCTAAAGCTCAAAACAGAGACGTAATTGCCCAGGGTCCACTCAGCTAGTAAGTGGAAGATTGGCTTTGAAACCAGGCAGTGTGATGTCAGGACTCCTGACTTGAACCACTACACCTCACTAAGTGAACAAATATTTAAGTGGTTCAGCTCTGCACAGAAATAGCTTAATTATGAAAAATGACTAAACTGAGCTCCTTTCCTTTAGTTTTGTTGGAGTTTTTCGTTGTATTGACATTTCAGACAGGTGACACTACTCACTGAGTATATAACCTATTACGAGAAAGCTCAGTGAGGGGGCGCCTGGGTGGCTCAGATGGTTAAGTGTCTGCCTTCGGCTCAGGTCATGATCCCAGGATTGTGGGATCGAGTCCCGCATTGGGCTCCCTGCTCAGCGGAGAGCCTGCTTCTCCTTCTCCCTCTGCTGCTCTCCCTGCTTGTGCACTCTCACTCTCTCTGTCAAATAAATAAAAACTTAAAAAAAAAAAAAAAGAGGAAGCTCAGTGAGAATCTTCATATTTTATCAGGCACTTGGCAAGATTTCCTATTTTCATATGAAAATCAAGTTAGCCTATCATGAAGAACAATAGTAAAGGCAAAAGAAAGGAGAAGGAGGGGCGCCTGGGTGGCTCAGATGGTTAAGCGTCTGCCTTCACTCAGGTCATGATCCCAGAGTCCTGGGATCGAGTCCTGCATCGGGCTCCTGGCTCAGCAGGGAGCCTGCTTCTCCCTCTGCCTCTCCCCCTGCTCATGCTCTCTCTCTCTCTCTGTATCTGTGTCTCAAATGAATAAATAAAATCTTAAAAAAAAAAAAAGAAAGAAAGGAGAAGGAAAGGGAAGGATGAAGGAAACCCTGCATTCTCCCAAAACCAGATGACATGAGGATATAACCAATGAGGTGTGGTTTCAGCACCAGTGAAAAGGAATGCAGACTTTAGTGTTCTGTACCTAAGTTCACATACAAAGATGAGAGACAAGGCATCATTGAGATAGAAGAGTTGTGTGGTCAGTTCTTATATGTAGTTCAAATTGCCTGCCTGTTTCATGTTTTGGTTATATTTTTAATGATAACCAAGCTTCCTTATGGGGCCTTCCATCTCAAAGGGGTGCACGCATGCACATGCTTGTGATATAAAATAGGTAAATAAATCAGATAAAGTATCTGAGATAAATCACTTGAGATAAGTCAAAGTATCTTCAAAACAGAGATATGTATCATATTTTGGCCCAGAGTTGTGGCTTCGGTCCAGTATTCCCGACATGAGTATTTTACACACACACACGCACGCACGCACGCAGACACGCTAATTTTCTCCAACACCAGTAATCATTTGCATTACAGACACCACAGTCTATTTAAACATTAAAGAGAGGGTATGAGTTCAACAATCTTGTCCACACATTTTCTGAATTAGAGGAAAGAGGAAGGGTGTGTCTGGGTGTGTTCAAAATTTTAGGAGCTGCTTGAGATAGCAGTTTAAAACAGGCCGTAGTCCTATTCTTTTGGCTTTTTTTCCTTAAGATTTTATTTATTTATCTGAGGGAGAGAGTGAGAGAGAGGGAGAGCACGAGATGGGGGGAGGGTCAGAGGGAGAAGCAGATGCCCCGCTGAGCAGGGAGCCCTACGCAGGCTCCAGAATCATGACTCGAGCTGAAGGCAGCAGTTTAATGGCTTGACCGACTGAATCACCCAGGCACCCCCCCCATTCCTTTGGCTTTAATGAAACTCTGCTGTCACCTCATGTTCTACATGGTATTTTAGCACAAATGTCATGCTCAGATCCTCTGTCTTGTGGAGTGGTGGAGATGTTTGTGGCTTATTCCAAAGGAATTTCAAAAACTGAATCAGAAATATTTCTAGGATATACCCACTCTGAAGTGTTTCTATAACTTCCACTCTGGAATCATGCTTCTGGGTCAAACGGACTTGAGAAGTAAAACTAAGAGCTAGTTTCTTGAAAAGAGCAATAATGCTTTGGCATGACAGATTAAGGAGGCTGGGGGTGGAGAGTAAGAGAAAACAAACTATATTAAGAGAAGGCAGTGAAGGGGCACCTGGGTGGCTCAGTCGGTTAAGCGTCTGCCTTCGGCTCAGGTCATGATCCCAGGGTCCCGGGATCGAGCCCCGCATCGGGCTCCCTGCTCAGCGGGGAGTCTGCTTCTCCCTCTCCCTTTGCCTCTCCCCCAGCTTGTGCTCTCTCTTGCTATCTCTGTCACTATCTGTCTGTCTCTCTCTATCAAATAAATAAATAAAATCGTTAAAAAAATTTTAAAAAGAGAGAAGGCAGTGAAGAAATAAAAACAAGGAGGTAAAGGAACAGGGGAAGGAGAGAAGAAAAAAGACGGATGAAAAGAAAAGCCCTGTGAGAACCCAGGCCACTTGTTCACCCCAGCCTGCCCCACTCAACCTTTCCTGTCTCACCTCCTGCTACTCGCTCTTCCCCTCACTCCCTCTACCCCAGTTCCTCTGGCCTCAAATACACCACACATGTACCCCTCAGATCCTTGCACTTTCCTTAGCAGGAAATGCCCTTCCCTCAGAGAGCTCCTTCCATTCACTCTGATGTGTCCTGACCAATGAGCCCTACCCCTGACATTTAAATGGCAACCTCCATGTCCAGCACCCTTTCTCTCCCTCTTCCCTGCTGGTTTTCTCACTAGCAATGACCATTGTCTAAAATGCTATATAATTTTATTCACTTATTTATATTATTTCACGAGTTTTGTTTCACCGTAAAATAAATGAAATATTTATGTAGCTATAGACAATGACAAGTTAAATTATACTAGAAGCTCCGATAAAGCAGTATCATCAACTGACATTTCTACACATATTTATAAACCTAAACATACAAGAAAAATAGCTCCAGAAACAAGTAACTCTTAGACTAAAGCAATTTTAGAACTATTCTGGACTTATTTTTATTCTACAAAAAGAAAACAAACTGTTGTCAAACGAAAATTCTCCTACAAACCTGATTTACACATATAAACTCTTCCCCTAAAGTGCCATATAGCCTCCCCAGAACTTTAATCCTTAAACTTTACGTTTTTAGCATCCCCAATTCTATACAGTCCCTTGAAATAACAAAAGCTTATTTTAAAACAAAAGAAAAGAAAGCTAATTTTAAGGTTTTAGAAATAGATTATAATTGGAAAAGATGATCTGAAATAAAGATATGTAACTTACCAACAAAGAAGTCAGCAATGGCCAAGTTAAGGAAAAAGTAATTACTTCGATGTCTCAGCTTTTTGTCCACCACAAAAGCTAGAATAACCACAGCATTTCCCAGCATTATAGCAAAAGCTAGTAAGCCCATTAAAAATGCTAGAGTAACGCGGGTGCTTAGTGGCAAAGTAGTTGCCCCCGTGCTGTTAGTGGCTGACATCACATCAAATGATGAAGAAATTAATCCAGCAAGACAATTCTGACAAGTATGTTTTCCAATCGGATACCTAATATATATAGCCTCCTGCTCATAACAGTATTTTTCAAAATCTAATGCTGATTTCACTGTACTTCCTGATTCTTGATAAAGCAAGCTTGTGATAACAGTCTCCCTTTAACTGACACTGAAAAAGTATTTTCCCAAAGCTAGTGAGATGTTCTGTTGTAAACATTTGAATGTGATTTAACCACCCCCCCCTTAATAGAGCAATATTACATAATATATGTGAAACATAATTGATTCAGTGGAAAGGTAAGAAATTGGGCTCCCGTGAGATTTATTTTTTCAGCTGTTAGAGATCTAGTTAAAGATTCCCTTCTGACCATGATGGAGTACCACAGGCTGAATTCACCATCTCATCTGACACAAACAAAAAACTGGACAGACTATTTGAAACAATGGTTTTCAAGGCACCGGACATCAAGCAGTGAAGGACAGTGATCCCTGAGTAAAGGGGAGAAAATGAGGTCAGCTCTGCAGTTGTCCCCGCTTACTGTCTTTTGTGAGTTTCCAGGGCACGGAGCAGAGAGTGGGCATGAAGCTGAGAGTTGGGAAGTACCAGACAGGACTCTGCTGCAGAGCTGCTATATAATATACATATTTTAACTGTACATAAGCCGGAAGTCTTGCGTGTAAGATGGTGCTTGTGATTGTTTTAAAAATGTAGCTGATAAAAATAAAATACACATTACACAGATTTAACTTAAGGTTGATTTGATTATTTTTCATTCATGGCATGCAAATTAATGATAATGATCTTTTTAAAAACTCGAATGATTGTCCCCATTTGTCACTCTCCCTAATCTTTATTCTCCTTTGCATTCACTCATTATTAATTCACAAACAAGAGGCATTAGGAATTTTTACATTCTTTCCAAAGTTACAAAGTCCCTTTCCAAACTAGCCAGTTTTTATGCTTAGTCAACTTTGAAGGCCTTTCTATTAAAAAAGCAAGGCAGCCCTGGTATAATGTAATTTCTTGACTCCAGTCTCTAAACTGGAGGCGCTAGAGAGCATTCGGTGTGAAAGGGGAAGGAAAGAAAGGCTGATTAATACATTGCTGACTGGGTCTGTAGCAGAAGATAAGGTACAAAAGTAAACAAGATGACTGTAAGCAGGACAGTTAAGACTGTGAAGGGGCACTGAGTGGGTTGGCCCAGAAGGTAAACAAGGATTTATTTTATGGACGGAGCATGGTAATCTGGACTATTTTTTTTTTTTTTTTTGTAATTTCAGGTGGGAAGAGCAAGCAATCCAACAGAATTGGAGGTCTTGCCTTGTGGTCTTAGGTTGTGGGGAATTGCCTTCACAAAAGGGAACTGCCAGGTGGGTAACATTTGGGAAAAAGAAGAATGACAAATCATGTTGGGCTACATTTCATTCTCTTACCTTGTGTGAACATAGAGTGGACTAAGTGTGTAGCTCAGAATTCCATTCCAGGTACTCTATTTGAATTTATTTAAATTTACTGGTGTCAAGTTGCTATCATTTATGTGTCAGGACACTTCCTTTTCTATCACTCCTGATGTATGTCTAACTATTCTTTTTTAAGTATTTATGATACTTTAAAAATTCAAGTTCTGTAAATAAACATAAATATAAAAAAATAAATCCTGGGGCACCTGGGGGCTCAGTCAGTTAAGTGACTGACTTGGTTTTGGCTCGGGTCATGATCTTGGGGTCGTGAAATCGAGTCCTACATCAGGTTCCACACTTAGCGCAGTCTGCTTGAGACTCTCTCTCCCTCTTGCTCTGCCTCTCCCCCCTGCTCGCTCTCTCTCTAAAATAAATAAATAAATAAATCTTTAAAAGATAAATAAATAAATCCTATCAACTCTCTATTATCAGTAATCTTCATAGGCGAGTTCACCATTTAGTAGAACCTATTCACAAAGACTGTTTGATAATCATGGACTTTAACATTCAAAGAGTCATAATTAAGCCTTTTTAATCAAGATTCTTAAACATCTAGAGGCTTTTATATATCAATTAGCAATTTGCTATTAAATAATGAATTTAAAGAACTTATTTTAGTGGACTGTGACCAGTGGTCCAAGGCCTTTTGGCATTATTAAATCCTTTAACTTAATCCATTAATTATGCTCATATAACTAAGAACAGAAATAAATATCACCCTGCCTCCTCTAGTGACTGTGAAGACATGCACATACAAGGCAATTGAACGATGAATCACAAACTCATCTTGCTAATGTCAAGAGGGACACAGCAAGAGACTTAACTTTACCCAGCAGAACTCTGCATGCAGGTCCCCAACAGGTCCCCTCTCCTTTAACAAACAAGAGGCTAAAACCATCACCATGCAGAGGTTTTCTAGCAGTTTTAAATTTAGGGATGAAGAGGAAGTAGAAGGACCAGGCTCTTTTCTTTCTGAAGCTATTCTGCATTTTCAGTTGGGTTGTTTGTTGTTGAGTTTTAAGACTTCTTTATGGGGGCGCCTGGGTGGCTCAGTCATTAAGCGTCTGCCTTTGGCTCAGCGTCTGCCTTGATCCTGGGATCAAGCCCCGCATCGGGCTCCCTACTCAGCAGGAAGCCAGCTTCTCCCTCTCCCACTCCCCCTGCTTGTGTTCCCTCTCTCACTGTGTCTCTCTCTGTCAAATAAATAAATAAAATCTTTTTTAAAAAAAAGACTTCTTTATGTATTCTAGATACTAGACCCTTATCAGATACAATTTGCAAACATTTACTCCCATTCTGTGTGTTGTTTTTACTTTCTTAATAATGTCCTTTGAAGCATAGAAGTTTTTAATTTTGATGAATTCCTATTTATTATTTTTAATTGCTTATGCCTTCGGTGTCACATCTAAGAAACCACTATCTAATCCAAGGTCATGAAGATTTACTAGTATGTTTTCTTCTATAAATTTTATAGTTTTAGCTCTCATATTTAGGTCTTTGATACATTTGAGCCAATTTTCATATATGGTGTGAGGTAAGGGTGCAACTTCATTGTTTTGCATGTGGATATCAGGTTGACACTATTTGTTGGAAAGGCTACTTTTTACCCATTGAATTGCCTTGGAATCCTTGTAGAAAATCAACTGACCATAAATGTATGGGTTTATTTCTTGATTCTCAATTCTAGTTCATTGATCTTTATGTCTGTTCTTATGCAAGTACATACTCTTATTTTCCATTCAGTTTAACAATATCTTTCTATCTTAAACATCAAATAAAGTATATGTCAAGCTTGTGAAATAGGAATGTAAGGTTTAAGACATGAAATCATTTAAATTCAAGACATAAAATCATTAGGGAAGCCAATATTAAAAAGAAAACTCACCAGCACTTAAGATCAATATTAAATCACATTTTAGCATTCAAACAATGTAGATTCATTTAAGCTCTTCTAAAAATTAAAAAAAAAAAAAGCACAACAGCATAATTGGCAGATGACAGAGCCGAACAGTGTGATTTTTCACAGTCTTAAGTATAGAATTTCATTTAAAATCTGGTCATTATGATTATATGTAAACAAGTTAGGGAACATAAGCAAACATGGTCTTAGAACTTCTGATTCCACATGTAAGCAGCTTGGAATTCACTACTCCACCCTACTAAGTAAAAAGCTGACCAGACTGAAAAATCAACTCTTCTTGGATGCATAAGAGAGGGAGGGACACAGGGCAAACTGCTGTCCTCAAGATTGGAAAGACAGACAAGCAAATACACAGAGTGATGAGTTATCAGAGCAGGAAGTCTGAAAACAGAAAACACTAAGAAACTGGTGCCAGGGTGAGAAAACCTGAACTGTAATTGACGAATCGCTAGAGGACCAGTGCAGATAACTCAGAGTTTAAAATTCCAAGGGGATCCAGTCATAGGGAGAGCCCCACAATACTGTGAGATTCATTTCCAAGAGCTTGACCAAGTTCCCAGGGTATTTATCAGAAAAATTCCCTCATACTTCCAGCAAGGGGAGGGAAAAAAGAACCATTTTGAAATATGCCAGAGCACTCTGTTCTGAACGAGGCTTGCCCTCAGGGGAAACTAGTTAACCAGAGCCTAACCTGCTGGGGTTAGATCAGAGCCTAACAGATCTAGGGGAACAGAAACACCCAACTCCAGGCCACTCTGGCCATCCTGTCCCCCCTAAGTGAAAAGAGTAAGAAATATTTGTGCAGTTCACAGTCCGGAGGCATGGGTTCACTAAAAGACCAAGACATAATCATAGGACTATAGAATGCTTCGCCTCTCCCGACACCTCAATACCACACCACTAAAGGCCTATTTACAGCAGTTCTTTTTACCCAGTACATCATATCTGGCTATCAAAAAAAATTACAAGGCATACCAAAAGGCAAAAAATCATCTGAAGAGTTGGAGCAAGCATCAAAACCAGACATGGCAGGGATGATGGAATTATCAGACAGGGAATTTAAAACAACTATAATGAATATGCTAAGGGCTCTAATGGATAACATAAGCAGCATCCAAGAATGGAGGAGCAAACACTAACTTGAAAAGATATATGTACCTCTGTGTTTATTGCAGCATTATTTACAATAGCCAAGATATGGAAACAACCTAGGCGTCCATTGATGGATGAATGAAAAAGAAAATGTGGTGTATATACATACATAAAATGGAATATCATTCAGCCATAAAAAGAATGAAATCTTATTTGCAAATGACATATCAGATAAAGGGCTAGTATCCAAAATCTATAAAGAACTTATCAAACTCAATACCCAAAGAACAAATAATCCAATCAAGAAGTGGGCAGAAGACATGAACAGACATTTCTGCAAAGAAGACATCCAAATGGCCAACAGACACATGAAAAAGTGCTCAACATCACTCGGCATCAGGGAAATACAAATCAGAACCTAAAAGAGATACCACCTCACACCAGTCAGAATGGCTAAAATTAACAAGTCAGGAAATGACAGATGTTGGCAGGGATGAGGAGAAAGGGGAAA